TTTAAACATTTATTGATCAGTTTAATCCAGGTGGAAAATAATCAGCTAGCAAAGATGGTCCACCAGTTTGGCCCTTTCTGTAATGGCACTGAAGCTTTGGAGTAGTTTGCTCTTCTCTGTCAGATCCTCCAATACAATAAATTCATCTAAAACATCCCTTAAAACTTATTTTTTCTCTCAGGCTTGTTTTTTTTTTTTTGCACCACTGTTTAACTGCTTATTTTCTGGCCTTAGTTATATCTGGTTTGTTTTCTTATAGCAATTCTTTGCTTATATATTTATTTTCATTCTTAATTATATTTTAGATTTTTTTTTATTTCCCGTTATGCCGTTATGTGCAGCACTTTGGTCAGTACTCATATTGTTTTAAATGTGCTATATAAATAAACTTGATTTGACTTGACATGAGTTGACGTGAGTGGTAGCTGGTCATTCAACCAAACAACCAATCAAATCAATGAATAAATGAATTCATTTGTGATGCCAAAATCATGGGAAACAGTAAACTGCTATTACTGTTTTAGCCAGGCCTGAAAAAAGTTTCCTGTGCAGTGCAATCCCTTCATATGGTTCTCAATGGGAGCTCTGTTCAAGTAACAACAACAACAACAACAACACCCATTTAACATTGTTCAATACAATATGTCAGCAGCTGTAATTGTGTGGCTCAAAATAACTGCAATTAAACTGCTCTCAATCATGCCAAAACTGCCAAAACACTAAAAAATCTATGATCCCAGTGTCAGTATCACTACATAGTGATTGTAATGTAACAGTATATTGAAATCTGTTTGTCCTTCAGCAATCAAGAGTCTGATCTATCCTTTTACAATGTACAGCTGCACTGATCTTGGTTTATCCGAGAGGTTTACACTGAACAGAATGGATTATAAAAAATGAAATGCATGCAAACATGTTTCATGTAGAATGAGAGGATGTGAATATGCTTTCCTTTAGCTGAACTTGTATGGAACAGCATTTGCACTGGGACACGGCCCATTATCTGATTCACGCCTGTATCTTTCTCTGATAAGAAAGCGTCGTGATGGCGGCTACACAACAGTAATGGAGATAAAATGTTCAGACCTGAAAAGAATGACCTGCCCTTTCGTCCTGGCCTTGTAGCTCGCCGAGCCAAGGCCGCTAAAACAGCGTTGAAGGACTCCGGTCGCCATCTTCACTGACAGGAGCCTGTTCTGTATGTCGGAAAGAAAAGGGTTAATAGTGTAACGCGCGCTTCGTCCACCAGAGGGCAGTCAAAGTCCTACTAGGGGACCTGACCTTTCAAAAAAAAAAAAAAAAAAAATCAGATTGGATGGAAAGGGACTCATTTTATAAAGAAATTTATTCATAAATGGATTTGTTTACAACATTAAACAGGGGTTGTCAAATAACAAACTACAAACAGTTTTCAGTACCTTGTCATGTACTACAGTTTTTCTTACATTTAATATTTTTATCATTCTGTATGGGTCCCTGGAGGACTAGTTGTTAGGCCTCGGCACTCTCACTGCCGCAGGCTGGGTTCGATTCCCGGCCAGGAAATCAACCTCAGCCACTGAGGTTGCACATGACAGGATAAAAGCCTGGATAAAATTGGGGAGTGTTGTGTCAGGAAGGGTATCCGGCATAAAAACTGTGCCGAATCAAATACGCGGAACCGATGATCTGCTGTGGCAACCTCTAATGGGAGCAGCCGAAAGCACAACAACATTTTGTATAGATTGCTAAATGGTGCATAAACAAACACCAAAATGAATTCATTCATTTGTGAATCAATGTGATGTGTTTCCCAGTCTGTGGACAGCCGAAAACGCAGAGCTGTTTACATCTGACACTTTGCATGCACCTCCAGTGACCACTTCTGTCTGTATTTCATACATCATTTTCATTATAACATTAGTCTTCCGCTGCATTTGTTTTCAGCAGAAATGTCCCATGAATCCTATCTCATGTACCTATACAGACTGCTTTCAAATGTTTCGATCACATGGTCTCTAACGAAACTTATAAATGAACAGGAGATGAGATGAGGAAGGAGCTAGGAAAAGCAGTGATTTTCAAACAGTCTCACAATGCTTACATATTTGCCAGCTAGGGCAATGTCATAGCCATTTAGGCGGTCCTTTGTTTCTGTCCAGGACACATGAAGATGTTTTTATGTTCACACTATAAACGTTATTTGGTTGCATGCGTCCCAAACCACCTCTGAATGTGGTTTGAATAATCGGATCACAATATGTGTTCGAGACACATTGGACCCTGTTCATACCTGTTCTTAGTTCTGTCCACTTACGATTGGATCACCCAGGATGCATTTCAATGCCAGGTGTGAACAGGGCCAAATATGCAAAAATAGAGGAAATCAGGAGGGACAAATACTTTTTCAGGTCACTGTAAACATATTTTGAATGTGAAATGCAACTAGTCAATACTGAATTATATATACAGTCCCACCCATAAGCACTGGAATGGCAAGGCCAATTCTTTTGTTTTTGCTATACTGTTTTTGCTGTACACTGAAGACATAAATCATTTAACACATCTAGATGTAAATATCAGGAAATGAAAGCTGAAATTCTGATCTATCATCTCATATTCATCTTTTGATCCCAAACCCAAATGTCCTCAGTATATAGCAAAAACAATAGAATTGACCTTGGTGTTCCAATACTTTCAGAGGGGACTGTATCTTGACACAGCAATATTATTAGTCAGAAACGAATTATTGATATGTGAACATGAAATTTTTAATAGTCAAAATTGAAATGTAGATATCTGCAGTTTGATTTTCTATTACTAAAAATATAACTGCAGATTTTGAAAATTACATTTTTGCTTGCAGATGTTGAGGTATTTTATGCCAAAAAGGTTGCATATGAGGATGGTAGGCACCCTCTAAGAGTTGGAGACAGGATGAAGGTCTGGTATCCTAAAGGTACCACGTAAATGATCTATCTGGCAATGCCTGCTCTGTGATTACAAAACCTGATGATATTTCATGTTCCTTAAAGCAACTGAAGATGCACACAAAACAGAGTTTTATATTTTTAAAAAGCTGGTTTTAGTATTGTTCAACTTTTAGTAAAAATGTTAAAATGTAGAAGTGTTAACCAATAAACCGGTATAAAATACTATCAAGTTTATTTGTGACGTGAGACACTGAACACATTTTCAGTTCACTTCCGTTTCTGTTTGCACCGCATTGCCACCCTAATTGACCAACAGCGGTACAGCTGGAATGAAACCTTAATGTACAACACACTCGCAAAAGCTCCATCAAACTGAGTCAACAATGTTGAGTCAACAAAACTTATCACTCCTCCATCTGCACCTCTACGAAGGTCACAGAAATGACAATAAGCAAATAAACAGGAGAGAAATACAGATAGAGGCAGAGAAAGAAACAAGGAGCAA